AGAATTCTTTTTCCTGTGTGAGTTACTAGAAAGCTTTGGTTTTCTGAGCTCTTTGGGATTGTAGACAAGAGGTATAAACTTGTAGTATATTTGATTATGGGTAGTATTTGCTGAAAAGAAAAGGTTCAGAAGAGTGGTTACAGTTTTAAATAGAAGGGCAAGGAAATTCTTATTGAAGAGGTGATAGAAAATAAAACAGATGAGGTTTTTGACTTAAGAAACGGAACGATGGGGTGCTAGTAAAAGGGAAGAGCAAGTAGAATAGCGGGTAAGGAAGGTAGAGATCACAAGTTCTGTTTTGGCCTTTAGACATTCATGTAGAGATGTTATGGATACACTTAACTGGAGTCCAGAGAGGATATGTGGGCTAGAAATAAACATTTGGGAGCTAATGCATTTGGTGACATTTAAAATCCCAAACTTGGAATTGTAATTCAGTGGTAGAGCACTTGCCTTGCATGTGTGAAGCACTATTTGATTTTCTGTACCACCACATAAAATGAAAAATAAATAAAAAGAAAAAAAAACATAAAACAATAAAAAATAAAACCCCAAACTTTTTTTAATTTGTTCTTTTCAGTTATATATGACAGTAGAGTATATGTTGACATATTTATACATACATGGAGTACATCTTATTCTAATTAGGATCCCAGTAAAACCCCGAACTTAATAAGATCACTTAAAAACAAAAAACAAAAAACTCCTTCAGTGTGTCAACCATTGTGCTATATTCCCTAGGGATACAGAGATAAATTAAAGATTATCTTTGTGCTCAAGAATCTGTGGCTTATAGGGAAGGCAGATGTAAACAGGTAAATAGTGTAAATTATAGTAATATGTTTCAGTGAATCTAAATCTGAGTCACCTGAAACTCCATTGCCCTCACACTTGCTTGTTCAGTGGTCTATCCATGAAACTTATACAGAAGGTAGTCAAGGTGTGGTACCTTTTATAACAGCTGGTTTCTCTACTAACCCAGCATGTTCCCAGTGATAGTAGTGACACTTTCCATGGCTTACAAAGCCCCTCATATTTGGTCTTTCCCCTATCTTCTGCTTTGTTACTTATACCTATCTCTAGTGATGGAGATGATTAGTTTTGTATTTTTGAAACATCATTCTGAAAGATGAATTAGAAGAGGGAACAAAACAGACCTAGATAACATTAACTTTGCTATTTCTTTGCCTTAATCTGCCTTCACATTGATATTTAGTGATTTATATAGGTCTATAGAGAAGAAAAAGCATAGCAAGGTTTGGAAAGGATGTATTGCTGAATAAGAAAATACTCTTCTTCCATGTATGTCATATTAAAAGGTGACATATGGCAGTTCTTCAAAAAATTAAATAAGTCTAGCAGTCACATTTCTGGGTGTATATACAAAAGAATTGAAAGTGAAAATTCAAATATATTTTGTATTTCAGTGTTCAAAGCAGCCTTATTCATAATAGCCAAAAGGTGAAAATGACCTAAATGTACATTGAAGGATAGGTGGATAAACAAAAGGTAGTATGTGTGTAGAATGCAATTATGCAGCCTTCAAGTGGAATGAAACTCTGATATGTGCTATAACGTGAATGAATCTCGAAAAGATTATATGAAGGGAAAGAAGCTAGATACAAAAGAGCAAATACTATATGATTCCTCTTATATGAGGTACTTAGAATAGTCAAAAACATAGAGACACAAAATAGAATATGGCTACCATTGGTCTGGGGAAAGAGGGAAACAGGAAGGTTTTTAATGGTACATAATTTCAGTTAGGAATGATAGAAAAGTTCTGGAGATGGATAGTGGTGATGAATGCATGATAATGCAAATGTACTCTAATTCTACTGCATCATTCACTTAATAATGATTAAAATGGTGAATTTTATGTTACACATATTTTACCACAATGAAAAAGGTGACCAAGAAATATCATGCAGCTATAAAAATGAACAAGAAAGACTTCTATATATTGACACTGTATTGGTACTGAGAGAAATCTATAAAAACAGGTACAGAACAGTGTGCATATTATAGTATCTTTTATGTAACTAAGGGAGGATAAAATATATATTCATACTTGCTTTAATTTGCATAAAGAAACATTGGATTAACAAGCAACTAGTAAAAATTTTTACCCTCAGGAAATGCAAAGATTGGTATTGAGACATCTCTGTATGTATCCTTTTATGTGCTTTTGATTTTTTGAATGACGTAAATGTATTATCTATTGAAAATAATTTTTAACATGGGACTTAAAGTGGATTTATTATAGAGTGGACCAATAATTTATAGTTAACAGAGAAACATAATCTTTTAGAAGTCATGGTTAAATATTTCTACATGTGATATCACCTCTACCAGACAAGTGAGGGCCAGGACTCAGGATCTGTGCCAGTGTTTGGTGTTTCAGTAGAAGTGGAGTTTCACCATGCCATTATACTTCAGGCTTCAAAGAAAACACATTTTGGGTATATATTTAATAAAGGCAAACACTTTAAAGTTTATCAGTACTAAGAAGTCACAAAGAGACAAGCCTTGTGCCTGGGGTGAGACCTCTTACCCAGAGCCTCCAAAGCTGGCCACCACAATGGGGTCATTAAATGGTACTTGATAGAGTCAGAGAGCTTAAAGCATTCAAAACTAACAAACTTTCTGGATATAGCTCTGTATCCTTCCAAAATGCAACTAGTTAGGAGCATATTATGTCTAGTACTTTCATCTGAAATAAGAAGCAGGATTGCATAACATGTCTTAGGCAGTAGAAGCTAAGATCTGAGCACCTGCTTTCCCTATTTCCCTACCCAAGGTAGTAGGACTCACATCTTCCCTGGTCATTTCTCTTCCAGTTCTTCCTTTCTCACCTAGACCCAATAGGAAATATGGATAGAACCCTGAGGCAGATTGTGAAAAGTGGATGATGGGCTGGAGTCAACCCAGACCACCTGAGCTCTTACCTCTTAGTTGTGTTCCAGGGAATATGGGTTGGATACAGAACCTGGGGAGTTATATCCTGGAATCATGCCCAACTGGCAGAGCACTTTCAGGCAAGGTTGTTGAGGTATAGATGAGCTGAAGTACAGAACCAAAATGAGAAAATTTGAAGTAATAGGAAATCTGTCACTGAAAGTAGTAAAGAAATAAATATTAGGAAGTTTATAAAAATTTCAGAGAGTTCAGATTTTTTTTTACATGATTCCAGTATAGGCACTTAAAGTACATTTTACTCATTTCAAATTATTTGAATGGGTAAGCAATTTATTTTTCTTTGCCTCATTGATCTATATGTCTGTCTTTCCTACTGCATTGTGGGAATTGAAGACAAAACTTTTACTCTAGTGGGGAAAAAACATGGACTTTAAGAGTCAGGCAGATCTGTTTAAATCCAAACCCCTTCTCATTCAAACTATTGTCTTTGGTCAAGTTATTTTTATCATACTGTACCTCAGCTTCTTTGTGCATTGTAGAGTTGTTATTAGAATTTAACGAGAAAAACATTTGTAGATAATATTTCATAAATAAAAAGTAGTCAATAAACATAAAAGAAAAAAATGAATAGAAGTTTTCTTCCTTTTCCCTCTTTTATCTTCCCCAGAGCTTTACATTTAAAAGACATAAAAATATTTCTCAAATTGAATATAGTTATTTACCTATTAAATCTAAACTCTGGTTTAAGAACAGCCTGAGGAGGGCATATTTATAAGGCTTTTACCTTGAGCAGTTAATGTCACTATTACTAAATATTTTATCAAGTAACTATCAGTTATATGCCAAATGCTAAAATTTCACGTGGTGATCGGATCTATCTTCCCTCTGTATTGTTAGAGCATAGCTGTGAAGCTTGTACTTGTGAAAGCCTACTCTTTTTTTCCCCTCTACTGTTGTTATAGGACCTTTTCTGTGTTAGTTATCTTTCTGTCACTGTGATAAACACCTGACATAATCACTTAATAAGGAAAAAGGTTTATTTTGACTTATAGTTTCAGAGATTTGGGTCCATGGTTGCTTGGTCCTGTTGTTTGGACTTGTGGTAGGTGGCCCAGTACATCAGAGCAGGAACATATGGCAGAGGATGCCTACCTTGTGGCTGCCAGGAAGCCAAGGAAGAGTGCAAAATTTAATTTTACCTGTTTCTTTTCTTTCTTTAAAATGTCAGGTTTCATTATCTCCTTCAATGGCATACCCTCAATGACTTAATTTCTTTCTACTAGGCCCCTAAAAGGTTCTTCCACTCTCCCAATAGTGCTGTCAGCTGGGGTATAAGTCTTCAACATATGGGCATTTGGGGCATATTTAGGATCCAAACTATAGTAACTTATCAAAACTCCAATTTTTACTCATTGGTATGAGAGTCATTCCTTTATATCCACTACTTTTTAAAAAAATCCTCAGCCACACATTATGGCATGGGTAAGTATAGGGATTGTTAGCTCTCTCTCCCTTTGTTAATGTGTGTTGAGCACTAGTACTGTGCTAGTGTGGATACAAACTGTATAAATACATGATTTCTGCCTCCCAAGTAGCTGTTTCTGTAGTAAGAAATGATACATATGTACCAAAATATAATTAATTCTTTGGTGACCCAGTATTACTTTCATTCACCATTTTATGTTTTACTATTTAAAGTGATTCCATTTTAAACAGAGAGACAGAAAAAAGATCACAAGGAATGCACTAAGGAATTGACAGAGTTTATCTCTGAGTAGTGGTATTTAGTGTAATATATATATATATTTTTTTTTTAAATTATTTTGTATTTTTAGGTGGATACAATATTTTTATTTTATTTTTATGTGGTGCTGAGGATTGAACCCAGTGCCTCATTCATGTTAGGCGAGTGTTCTACCACTGAGCCACCACCCCAACCCTTAGTGCACTATATTTTTAAAAAATTTTGATTACCTAGGTTTTCTGAAATTTTCAGATATTTCATTCTTAATTTATAAGAAATACATAATTTCCCCTTCTCACTAACAAGATAGCGATCCCTCTCTTTCTCTTGCATTCAGCTGTTGCGAGAATTGAAGCACCCTAATGTGATCGCATTGCAAAAGGTGTTCCTTTCTCACAGTGACAGGAAAGTGTGGCTGCTGTTTGATTATGCAGAACACGACTTGTGGGTAAGTCTAAACTTCCTGTATACTTAGGATTGTTTATAATATATGTAAGCAATAACAAACTGCTAATGCACAGGAAGGAAAACTTGCTGTTAATAGGAGTTCAAAATAAATGTAATGAATTTTAAATGTTGATTTTAAAGAAGCTGAGCAATAAACCAACATTTATTGAGAAGATAATATTGTAATATTTAGAAATTTTACTTAAAATTTTACCGAGTGACAAGATTGTATTTTCATGCAAATAATTATTGATAATTTGCTAATATGCATAGTGAAAATTACTTTTTTGATGTGTTCATTAGTTCAGATTTAATCAGTTATATACTTGTGAATAGTTTCCAAGTTAAGATCAACCTCTTGTAGCATTTTGCCATTTAAAACTGGGGTCCACCATACAGAAGTGTGTGTATGGTTTTGTAGATTTTTTTTTTAATTTTTAAAAATTTTTTAGTTGTACTTGGTTATAATACCTTTATTTTATTTATTTATTTATCTATATGTGGTGCTGAGGATTGAACCCAGAGCCTCGCATGTGCTAGGCGAGCACTCTACCACTGAGCCACAACCCCAGCCCCAAGGTTTTGTAGATTTTTAGGAAGTTTTTAATCAATAAGTGAAAAAAGAAAAAAATTAGAATTTCTAATGTTTTAAATTAGGAATCATGGCATTTAAACATTTTATCTAAATAACTACTGAAAAAAATTTCAAATTTGGTAGTGAATTCAAATTATGGATAATTAAATTTTGATTAAATATGGTATGTGTTATCATCTATATAAATTAAAAATCTGTTTAGTAATAACTTTAACAGATTCACAGGTATTAAAGGAACTTCCAGAGGCCATTCTATTACAGCAGGTGCTGACTAGAACCTCATTTTTTTCATAATTCTTTTTATGGATAATGATATAAATTGTATTTTTAAAAGTATGAAGTTGGGAATGGGGTTATGGCTCATCGGTAGAGTGCTTGCCTAGCACATGTGAGGTTCTGGGTTCAATCCTCAGCACCACATTAAAAAATAAATAAATAAATAAAAAATATAAAATTATGTATGCAGCTCCCATTATATCTGTATTAAAAATCTCTGATTTTAGTATAAAACCAAATTTTTTATTATTTATTAAAATTAAGTGAATGCTGTTGAACAGCTTATAAAGAATTTTACATACCATTGGTCATTTTAAAATTAGTGGAACACTGTTGACAACTTCACTAGTATTGTTTGAATAGGGGTTTTAACTGATCTTAGTATCCATTTTGGCATGCTTTGGATGGGGATGGAAGTGGAGGTGGTGGTGAGGGGTGGTATGTAGAATTCTTCTCTTTCATTGCAATGTTTTTGTAAACTGCAATATAACATGGCTGTAAAAATTTGAAAATCATGACCTGGTTGTATTTATTTCAATGCAGTTAAATTCCCTATTTTCCTCCCTCCTTTCTAATTATTTTCTATTTACTATTAACTCCTAAGAATACATCTTCATTTTGTGCCAGAATTCATTCTGTACCAAAAAAGAGGTGGACTTTTAATATTTCATTCTGTCTGCAGAGAATATGACTAGTACTGTTTTTAGTCAGGCATTTAAATATCAATCTTTTAACCTTTTGGTCCTTTTTAATGAAAATCTTAATGGTTTCAGTAAATCTAGTCATTATAACCCCCCATTCACCCCCCAAAATAGATTGTTATTTGCTTGATTTTATTCAAGTTATTTTCTTTGTGTCCTTTGCCTTTAAAAAGTAATTTTTAAAATATAGAGCATTTATTACAGCCTCAATCGTGTTTTATTGGCATAGATATTAGTGAAGACTATATATCATTATAGTATTTTTTTTTTTTAATTTTTAGCATATTATTAAGTTTCACCGTGCATCAAAAGCAAATAAAAAGCCCATGCAGTTGCCAAGATCTATGGTTAAATCATTACTTTACCAGATTCTTGATGGTATCCATTATCTCCATGCAAATTGGGTGCTTCACAGAGACCTGGTAAGTGTGCTTCTTTAAAATGCATCAATATGTCTTTTCTTCCTTTTTTAAGAAAATCTTTTCTTCTTGGTACAATTATAATAGTATTAACTATAGAAAATTTTGAAATTATACATAAGCAAAGAAGGAATGAAAATTACATATAAGCTTCTAATCAAAATATTACCTTTATTAAATTGGTATATATTATTTCATTGTGATTTTTAACAAATTATTAGTGTATAATTTTAATGGAGTAGTTGTATGTGAAACAAGTACATTTCAGTTCAGGTTGTTCTTCATATTATTGCTTATTATCAGAAAAACATTAATAAGATTGAGTTCTCAATTTTTTTTTAACCTTAAGACCTAAACTGAAATAAGGATATTGCATCTGGTAAAAAGAATGTTGTAATTAGCATTAATAATAAATAAATGAATAAATAGACCTAACAGGTAAAATATGCTTATTAGGCAAATTAGCCACAATTCAAATGTTTAAATTAAAAAAAAAATTTAAATAAATTTAAAAATGCAGAATGTATTACAATTCATATTACACATATAGAGCACAATTTTTCATATCTCTGGTTGTATATAAAGTATATTCACACCAATTCGTGTCTTCTTGCATGTACTTTGGATAATGATGTCCATCACATTCCACCATCATTGCTAACCCCTTTCCCCCTTCCATCCCCTCCCACCCTCTGCCCTATCTAGAGTTCATCTACTCCTCCCATGCTCCCCCTCCCTACCCAACTATGAATCAGCTTCCTTATATCAGAGAAAACATTCAGCATTTGTTTTTTTGGGATTGGCTAACTTCACTTAGCATTATCTTCTTCAACTCCATCCATTTACCCGAAAATGCCATGATTTTATTCTCTTTTAATGCTGAGTAATGTTCCATTGTGTTAAAAGTGTGTTTATATGCCACATTTACAAATCCATTCATCTACTGAAGGGCATCTAGGTTGGTTCCAGTTTAGCTATTGTGAATTGTGCTGCTATAAACATTGATGTGGCTGTGTCCCTGTAGTATGCTGTTTTTAAGTCCTTTGGGTATAGACCGAAGAGAGGGATAGCTGGGTCAAATGGTGGTTCCAATAACCCAGTCAGTAAATGGGCCAAGGACCTGAACAGACACTTTTCAGAGGAGGATATACAATCAGTCAACAAATATATGAAAAAATGTTCTCATCTCTAACAATTAGAGAAATGCAAATCAGAACTATTCTATGATTTCATCTTACTCCTGTCAGAATGGCAGCTATTATGAAAGCAAACAATAAGTATCGGTGAGGATGTGGGGGAAAAGGAACACTCATACATTGCCGATGGGACTGAAAATGTTTAAATTTTGATTTTTTTATTCAGTGTACTTACAGAAGTCATTTACTAATATCAAATTGTATGTTAGATATTAATTATTATTTTAGTTTATTTTGATGAGTCCCCCCCCCCCCCTTTTTTCTCCTTCCTTACTAGAGATTGAGCCCAAGGGCTCTCCACCACTGAGCTATACCCCTAGTCCTTTATTTTATTTTATTTTATTTTATTTTAAGACAGTCTCATTAAGTTGCAGAGACTGTCCTTGAATTTGCAATCCTTCTGCCTCAGCCGCCTCAGTAGCTGGGATTACAGGTATGTGCCACCTTGCTTAGCATTTTCTTTTCTTTTTTTTTTTTTGTTTTTTGGTGCCTGGACAGGGACACAAACCCTGTTTGTTTTTTCATAAAAAGATATGAATAATGAATAGCTATAATCTTCATGAGTTAATCACTGGAGATTTTATTTTGCATCCCCCTTCATGAGTGACTTTGTGATAATTTATTTTTTAGGCTTTTGAGAATTTAAGTGATGTGGTAGGAATAAATCTAGGGTAGATTTAAGTTTTATTAACTGAGGAGACATGTTTATTACGGAAAGGAATGAAAATATAAAGAGATCAGGTGAATATCCCTTGGTTCTTAGGCCTAGACATCTAACTTGACTGTCTCTTCTAAATGATCGTGACTACAGAATATGCGTTTGCCATTTTGACAGAAGCATTTTACTCTATCATTTTAACTATAAGGTTCTTCAAGACTTCCAACTATTATCCATGAATCAGCATGTTTAAAAATGGTTCTTAGGTATATGAAGTTATTGTAGATTAATCTCATAGATTGTGTTAAGATTTTAATTTGTTATACACTTAATTTAACCTCTGTGAGTTATATTTTCGTGGTTATAATTATGTTTAAACCATTGATTGGAATTCTTTTGGTGAGGAGTAATTAATTTGAGTTTTCTTTCATTTTTGAAGTTGTATATTTTGTGTAATATTATCACCTGAGTTCTACTGATAAAATTCACCATGGCTAAGACTCATTTTTTCCCATCCAAACTTGCTGCTGGTTTAGTGTCCTCTTTTAAGGTTATGGCACCACCCACCTCTTACACTAGAAACATCTTTTACCTTTTTGCAAACTGTTCATTGCATTTCACATTCAGAACTTGTCAAGTTCTTTTTAGTGTCATCTCTAAAATATCTCTTCCATTCATCTATTACCATCCCTAGTACCTCATTCCTTTCTAGTGTTATAGTAATGGCCTCTTTGTTTATTTCCTTGTCAGTAATTTCTTTCCTCTCCAGTCTACTTTAGACTCACTGGCTATTTATGTAGCCCTGTTCAAGAACTTTGAAATAGTTTCTTATCCAATGACTAAAGTTCTAGTTTCTTATTTCGCTTTCAGGGTCTTACCACATTTAGCTCCAACTGCCTTTAAAATTTTTCTCTGTCCCTGCCATCTTTTACAGATATTATATTATTGAACTATTGATTGTTTTCTGTATCCTTCTGAGATTTCCTGACTCAATGGTCTTTATTCCCCTGTCTTAAAACTCTTTGCTCTTCATCTACATATCCAAATATTACCTGTCTTTTAGGGCGTAGCACAAATTTTAAAATTTGCCTCAAATTTATTTTTACTTAGAAATAATCTCTCCTTGTTATTGGTTCCTGTTATACTTTATCTGTATTCTCTTAGTATTATTTATGTGTATAGGTTTCTTAGATTATCTCCTTGATTGTAAACTTCTTGAAAGGGCAGAATCTGTTGTCTGATCCTTTTTGCATATCACTACCCCTGTACACAAGAGGTGTAGAGGAAATATTTTCTCAGAGAATGAATACCAGTGAGAATATTGATTATTATGGCATTTTTGATGAAGTATTTGAACACTTGTCCTTGGTAAATATTTATTATTTTCTTGTGTGTGTAAAATAGAAAGGAATAGAAACAGTATAAATATGACTGCATCAAAGGCCTTCTTAAGGGCTTATAGTCCAAGAGAAGAAATATGACGTACATACAGTTACACTGTGAAATAGGTAAGAGAATGTGATTGTGGCTGTACAAAAGGACAGACTAAATGGTGTTAAACATCAGAAGAGGTTCTAGTGGGGGGCTGGGGGTAGCTTCAGAGAGCATGTTGCATTTGAGTTAGACTTTGAAGGGTGTGTAGAATTGAGGGATTTAGAGGAGTTTTGGATGTAAAATAGCTGAGGCCAGAAAGCACTTGTATTGTTTCAGAATGGCTATATAGTTCTGCCTAGCTCACATATGATAATTGGAGTAGTGTGGGATAAGACTGGAAATATGTTGTTTGGAACCTGATTAAAACAGGCCTTAAATATCAGACTATGGAGTTTGGGGAGTCTGTTCACTTATTATAAGTTACCACAAGTTTGTAAACAAAAGAATGGAATTTTTCCTTCTGCTAAACATCACCAATGATAACTATTACCTTGCCCATAGGATGGATGAAATGGTGAAATTTTTTAAAAATATTTTTTTAGTTGTAGTTGGACACAATACCTTTATTTTACTTATTTATTTTTACGTGGTGCTGCGGATCGAACCCAGAGCCTTGCACGTGCTAGGCAAACACTCTACCACTGAGCCCCAACCCCAGCCCCTGAAAATGTGTTTTGAGTGTGATTCTTCCCTAGTGTAGTGCTTATTATATTTTACCTGTACATTAACTGAATGGCTCTGCTGCTCAAATAATTTACATGTGAAACCTTGTACCGTCTAGTGTGAGATAGTCTCCATAATTCTTTTCACTGACCAGAAGTCCTGATATCTGGACCACATTGTCATGATTTTGAAAAAATTTTCAGAAGTAGAAGATTTAAATTGTTACTCTGTAGATAAAATAAATATAAAATATGAATATAATGCTAAAAGGAGAATGATGGAAACATTTGAAGAAACATTTTTATGAGTTTTAGAATTGCTATTTTAGTCAATGAATAGGTTTTTTTTGTTTTTGTTTTTATTAATGCATCATTTTCTGTTGCTGAAAGACATCTGGTTTTATACTACTTGTTAGTCGCAACTGTTTCAGAGTAACTTACCATCTCTAAATTTTCACTTGATGTGAGAAACCTGAGAAATCCAAACAATTAAAGTAAATATACATTTTTAGTGTAGTAATCTAAAACTACAGCCAGTGTTTTGGACTTCACATACAAAGAAGCATTACGTCATCAAAAAGGTTGATGTTGGGCTGGGGATATAACTCAGTTGATAGAGCACTTGCCTTACATGCACAAGGCTCTGGGTTTAATCCCCAGCACCACCACCAAAAAAAAAAAAAAAAAAGGTTGATATTTTTCATCATGATTGATTTCATATCTTGAACAACATTTTAATTATTTGATTTGGATCGTATGATTTAATACAATAGTAGAGAATTTAAATAAACCCCCCCCCAAATTATTTAAATTAAGGCATTGCTTTTAAAAGGAAAGGAAAGCTAAGTATATTCATCTTGGCTGAGAGACAGCCTTTTCACTGTCTATAGATATAAATCTATAAATATTTGTAACTTGTAAACACTAAGGGAGGAAAGATATATTTTAATTTTACAGCAGGATATAACTAAGAGTAAGAAGATGAAATATAGGATGACTCATTTTTATGGGATTACTATTCCGGTAGGTTGGAGGAATGCCAAGATATAATTT